CGGATGCCTTTATTTTTGAGGCAGAAAGTAGCAGCTGTGTTCACGCAGTTAATGTACATGTATATAAGCCCCCAAGATCCATGCTACATGTACAAATACCACAAGAACGCGCACACTCCAGCGCGTGCACACATTGTCAAGTAAATGTAACGTTGTGCTCTAAGATGAAATAAAGAAGTCTACTTCACTAAAACACGCGCGCACACACACACACACAGAAAGAGAGGGAGAGAGAGACGCAAAGATAAACACACGCACATTCTTGTAGCGGCGGAGAAATTTAGATCCGATCTACTTTATTTTGCCTGTATAAATGCCCAAGGGATTCATCTTCGTATTCTGTCCATAAACAATTCAAAGTTTAAGGAGAGTGTTATAAAAAAGGGCTAAAAAAACGGACAGGTCAATGTTGATAGAAAATGACGTTTGTTGGACCCTTGAAAGGCCAAAGGCATGTTTGTTATAGGTAGACCTGTTCAGATGAAGTCCAAATTTATCGGTTGATGAAGACAATTAGATGAGTTAATTTTGCTGGGCAGTGATGGATGTAGAACGCTTGAAAGGTCAGTTTCCCGTCCATTTACCCCTTGGTTGATATAGGGCTTAATTGAATACTCAAAACAGTTGTGAGGCATTCCTTAACTCGTGCTTGATCCTCTTAACACATTTGAACAAAAAAAGCGATGTATATCCATAGCCTATTGACCAATACATAGTAGTGTGTGTGTGTGTGTGTGTGTGTGTGTGTGTGTGTGTGTGTGTGTGCGCGCGCTTGCATGAGCACATATACATGTATGTGCGTTTTGTCGAGTTGAATGGGCTTGAATATTTGGACCTTGACCACGAATATAAAATAGGCTAAACCTTAAGTGAATTTCAGACCAAAACGGATTCAAAAACGTTACATTAAATGACACATATACTGATATTGTTGCCTATCATAATGTTATTATATTCAGAACACCAAGTTGACAGAGTAATTTATCGTTTTCTATCTGATGTTTTTCCAGCACGCTGGCCGTGCGGCTACACGAGCAATGAGTGCGAGGAGATCCTTCAGGTCCGCGCCGTGCCAGGCCAGTGTGGAGAATTCTTTATGTGCACGTGGAACGGATGGAAGAAAAAAATGTGTCCCCCTAACAAACATTTCAACGAATCTTTAACTTATTGCGTTCTCACTGACTCTGAACCTTGCGTACCTGTCGTCTGCCCGGAGGTGACGCAGACGACGGCCAGACAAATATCAAAGATCACTACACGACCTCAGGTTGAGCAGACGACAGGGGCGTCAACGTCGCGAAATGATCACAAAGAAACGATAACTCGGTCACATTTGGAAGTAACTAGTCCCAAAAGCTCACCACCATCAGTTCTCGTGGTAACTCAAAGGAAAAACGGAACAAAAGGAATAACAATAAGTGGTACGCGGTTGATACAAACAACAGCGAGCGCAGTTGTGCAAATATCAACTGAAGATAAACCCAAAGAAAAAATTCCTTCAACGCAGAAAACCACACCATCGGGTGAATCCAATGATAATACAAATGGTAAGGTTTTATTTCTTATCTTCTATGATCTATATGCACTCTAATGGGAAAGAAAATAGAAAAGCAAAAGAAAGATTCCTTTTATTATTAGATTTGTTTTGTTTGTCTTTTATGGCATAAGTTTGTCTGATTATTTCATCTCCGCTGCTGAAGGTTGAAATGATAAATCAACAGATTACAAAGTTGCACACTTTTTTATTTGTGAGCTGATATGCATCTTTTTGTTCGATTCAATTCATACGCAGAGATTTCCCCTCTCAGTGAGCTTATTTCCTCTAAAGATATTCTTTTTTTTTACTGTCACTATATGAAACTCATTGTTGTCTGTCTCTCCAACAACATAAATATATATTAAAAATATTGTTTCAAGAGAGACTTGAGCTTAAGCGTATTTTCTATCTATAAGACATGGCGGGTTCCACCTCAACCTCAAGGGTCTTCGCCAAGCTAGTGATACCGTTTATCTCTTTAATCTCGATTCCCATTTTACCATCAGTGCACAAAAGACAATAAATATATATATAAATACCAAACATGAATATAGATAAATGGCCATTACAGGTTCTACCATCCTTGAGAAGAGTACACCGGATGATCCGTTATACGTTGGGCAGTCGGGTGTGAATTCGGCAGTCATAGTAGGGACATGTATAGGGGTGTCCGCGGTGCTCGTTATAGTAGCAGTGGTGCTCTTCTTTCTGTGGAGGAGAAACCGCGGGAAAGGACACGGGTAAGGCTGTGTTGTTTAGACAAGTGGTACTAGTAATCCTTTTTTTCCTGTGATAAAATACAAAGTGAGAGTGGTTTCCCTACTCCCTTCCGCACGCACGCACTGACTCGCTCGCGCAAAAGTGGGGAGATGAAACTAATGCAGGTTTTATGCTTACTGGTATTGTTATGATGTATGGGTGTGTATGTGTGTTAGCCCCTTCACCCTACTTACGCTCACGCGCTCACATGCACATGTACGCATACCAACACACACATAGATCTTAACATGAGAAAACCATGAGGCGTCTGAAAATATGAGATTTACTCGATTATCATTTAACAAGGTTGCAAAGGTTGCAAAGATACAAGGATAGTACAGTTTTTATCGAGAAAAAATAATTCGACAGCCATTTGTTGAATTGCATACTGGAGCTGCAGATGAAGAGTTTGGCACTTTGTCTTTGTAAATAAAAACCGCCAGTTTGAATTATTGGCAATTTGGTCTATCTATTAAGGTGTGCTGCTTTCCGTAGTACGTCTTCAGAAACCAGCACATTAAGACCCAATCCTAGTATATATGGCTCATTGCAAATTCCAGACCTACTTTAGGGACATTCAACTGTCAATTTACCCCACAATATCTAGCTTTTGTCTGACCTATTTTTGTAGTCCCGTTAAATTAAATTTACGATAAATGTAGCTCTGTAGCTAAGTCCTGATTTTACGGACATTCAAGTCAAAAGTTACCTCAAAATTTTTACCTTTTGTTTGGTTTATTTTCATAGTTCTGTTATATTTAACGCATGGCAAACATTTCTCCGCCTTCGCGTGTCTATTTCCCTCCAGGACCTCTCCAATATTTACTAAACGTTTGTGATTATTTAAGTTTTCAACTATCTTAACTCCATGGGAGTAAAATTCAATTCCCCAACAATGGACATGTTTGTGAAAATATCATTGGGCGCAGCCAGGGTAAACATTTTGTAACTCCGATTTCTAAACGTGTACTCAGCGTCCCCGTAATGCAACGTGTACACAAGGGAAAAAGAGGGAAAATACCTTATCAAAACACGCTGGGATTGAGGTCACCTACGCATACCTGCCGGGATTGTCTCTGTTAAAATTGAGGCAGTTTGTCCTATGATATTGTTTCAAGCGATTACAATGCAGTAAAATGTTGCTGAACTTACAGTCTCTTTCTGGTGAAAAGTGTTATAAAATGAAGGAGATTTTCTGTGTTTTATGTGTTACAATTAGATTGACGTTTTAAGTACTGCTGAAGTACAAAATTTACATGGGTCAAGTCCGCTCTTTATTCTATATCCAAGACAGCGAATGTTGTGAAACGTTATACGTTATATTAACTTTTCATGTTCTTCATCAAACTGCAATGGCCAAAGTAGAAAGTACATTTTTTCTAAAAATTCCCTTGAACATAGGTTTTTGTTAAGTGGTTTTTAAACACTCGTGGTCATTTGTGTGTCTTACTGATAACGAACTAATACACCCCAAACAAGACCACATAGGAAATAGCATTTAATTTTGATAATCTCACGCCGACGCCGGTGACCGGTTTAGTAGTGACTCATACAAGTTGCTGTTGAATTGGAGAAAGCTGCGTCACTTCAGGCTCAATATCAATTCCGTTTCTTATGTTGACTGGCAGTTATTGCTCGTTAAAATTAACGAACTGCAATTACTTTACATCATGAGAGAGAGAGAGAGAGAGAGAGAGAGAGACTTAATGTTTGTATATTTGTAGTAATGTGTTTGGGTACGTGTGTGTGTGTGTGTGTGTGTCAGAGAGAGAGAGAGTGAGAGAGAGCGGTTAAATACATAAGGAGAGGATGATAGCTACATACACTCGCATTTTCACCTATGCTGCATATATCACTTTTTAATGAGGATTAAACTGCGTTGAACTCTTATTACTGGTAACCGAGATATATAAACTGTGTGATCTAAAGCTCGCATTTCTTTATAGGGATTGGTAATTCGAATTTTATATAACACAAGTTAAATTAAATTGCAATTTAAAAATTGGCAGAATGGCAGTTAAGGTCCTTATCCTTCCATTAACTTTGAATAACATAGTGTTCAACATGTGACTGTGGTTTGTCGAATGACATTTTATCACATATTTAAAATGCAATTGTTGCTAAATTACTCAGCGCCAAACGCAACTGCGAGACACCGCAAAGCCCGATGTCCTTGCCAATATTCTGTAAATACCGGATATTCTCTCTCTCTCTCTCTCTCTCATTATGATAAAAAGTACAATTCTGGTGCGAAACAGATGATGTGAATTTTGCAACATACTCCTTGTCTTTAATTGGTTTTTTCATAAAATCACGAAATTAAAATTAAAACATTCTGTGCCTTTTTGATGACAAATTATACAAAATACGGATAAGACCCCAGAAAACTGATATTTTTGCCATCCGGCCAAATATTGCTTTAATGTTTTTTCATATATTTTTTCACTTTATAGAAACACGCCTTATTATCAGTCATTATCTACACATTTCAGATGCTTTGGGAACGGCGGGCGTTCTCGGAATTTCCGAGACGACAACTCTGAGATTTACAGCGAAGTCCTGGAAGACGAGGAACTGGTTAGTAGCGCATTGAACTGTAAAAATATCAGTTGTGTCATTTACTTTTGAACAAAATGCAAATCGGGATAAAAAAGTAAAGAAAATAAAAAGACTAAACTTGTTATTCTACCTATGAGGCATGTCAATTCAGTCAAAGATCAAGGCCCCTTTGATGTAGGTTCGAAACGCCATGCCTTTTAGACAGAAAAAAACATCATTTAATCTCTTTAGAAACTTATACGTTATGTCATATTTTACACCGAAATTGTCAACCGTGTAAGTCGTGAGAAAGGCAATTGAAAAAGTATTTTACTTAGATATAGAATGCTAGGCAGTTAGTTGTGTACACAATATATGTTGTTACATGGGCCTATTACAAGTTTTCATTTACCTTTGCAGTATAAAGAATGTCGATCGATCGTTATTTTAAGAGCAGTGATGCCTTAACAACAATAACAATAATCTCATCTAAATTTACCAGGGTAACCCAGCCGTTCGTCACCTCTGTCTGTCCAACTCCAACGCCTTCACTCCAACGATGCCTAACAAGAACCCGCACAACGAGAACATGTTGACCATGAAAGACGGCATCATCACGACCCTTCCGCACAGCAAGCAAGTGGAGGAAAAGGCAAACATGTATGAAAAATTACCACGGAATGCTAGCAGAGAGGATGCTCACAACGACTATCAAGCTCTTTTGCCAGACGAAAACAACAGTAATATGGAGCCGGACTTGCGACCGAGCCACGTTGTCGCTGATAATGCGTCGTACGCAGTGGTATCGAAAAAAGCGGACAGACAGAAAAAAGGAGGACAAACCGAAAGGGGATGTGAAGGATTTCGCCCAACTAGTCTTGCTTCTAAAGCGTCTCGTAACTCGGAAACTTTGAGCATAGTGCCTCCAAGCAAATGTAGTACTTCCGTAAACTCTGATGGAAGTTATCTAGAACCCATAGCTAGTCCTACACCGCTGATAAGAGCGGACGATTCTAGAAGACGCTCGGATTTTATGGCCGACGGTGGGGGGCGTTCCATGTTCACCAATCCTGAACAAGGAGAGAGCGAAGATTATGATTACCCCGAGTTTGACAGTGAAACAGAGGGCGAGGAACCGGAGTACTTTATTCTAGAAAAAGAAGATGTTCCCCCAAAGTTCACGGGGTATGATCCACGATCTTCAAAAGCTGTCGGAAATGGCACCGGAGCGAAGCGGTCGTCTGCTAATTCTTCAGCAGGGCTGCCTCCACAAAACCAGACTACCAAACTGCTACAAAATGGAAGTATAGCTGACAGCAGTAGCACTGTTAGTTCCATAGGAACTTTTCATTCGGACAACAATCAAGATTTACTACAGAGCATCTTCAGCGTTCTGGGGTCGCAACCAGAGCCAGCAGTTGGCGCTTCAGGGCAAAGACTACTCGAAGGGGATGGAAGCCGACGTACAAGTGGAACAGCAGTTGAACCCTACGATGAACGCGAATATTATGAATTAGAAGATCCAGAGGAATGGAAGGGGGACTCATAGACATTGATAATTTTTTCTAATAGTTTAATGCATGCTGGCATCTTCAACGACGGTTAGAAAACAGAGCCTCACACACATCCTCTTAATTACACTGAATTACATGTATTATTATTTTTGCTAAAACTCTACAAACGAGAGGCATGAGTTTTTCTACCCCTGCCTCCATCCCCTCTACCCTGTGTTAAAATACCCTTCCATCTGATATAATATCCCAAAGAATGTTGGACGAGCAAGTGCGTACTAGTAGTAGAGTAGTGTATGGAATGCTGACCTAATTTATGTTACACCTTGATATAATTTATCTCATTTTTTTGGGCATAGCCACATGTCAGATGAAGATATCATCTGTAACTATGGTAAAGCGATTTTTTGTGTAAAAGTTGGTGATTTAATCTCAGCCCAGGTGGAAGTGGGTAAGAATTTCAGGGTTTATTGTACTGCATCTTATGAAAACTTACCTACGGTAAAAACTTAAAAATTTCGTCGGTTTTGAAAAATTCGTCAGACGACTATATTCCACCGACCTACGTTTATTACTTACCTATTTTTCACATAAGTTAACTGACCAAACTGAATAAACACAAAAAATATTATACCCAGTTTATTAAGAAAAACTAAATGGAAGTCATATGTAGCAGACCAATGAGAACTTCTATTTTAGGATAAAAAAATCTCAGTTGGTTTTTATACAATTATCACAAACAGTGACTGTGCTAATACAGTGTTGGACCATCTCAGTTTTTTCTTGAAGAATACAAAGAAATTTCACTGTTTCTGCATAAATATTTATTGTAATATCTATAAATACTACTTCTTGTGACATAAAGCCTGCTACACAGGTTTTAAAAAATATTTCATATATTTATTTATTTATTTCAAATGCTGTTTAATAGTCAACTTTACCATAAACTCCACATTGCAGTTATTATGTTATGGATTAACCAGGTGTGTGTGTTAAAATAATCAAGAATGAACCATATAAGGATAAATTATCATTAAAATGAGGACATAAAAGTTAAGTTTCTTGCTGCGTCATGACTAGAATGTCAACATCCAAGTTACATCTTTGTCACCTTCCAGTCACTGTGGTGCTAAAAAGTTTGGCCACTTCAGAATTCCTGACCAGGCCACAAGCTAGCTGTCCACTGAGGTCAGGCTGGTCAGCAGCTCCATGTTGTAAGAGAATTTTGATGCACTCTGTATGTTGTGCTCCACTGGCTATATGTAATGCTGCAAGAGAAATACTGCCATGGTTTAACATACAAGTTACTAGTACATACTGGGTCTTTTTCACATCGAGCTTTACTGTTTTCTGTAACGTACTGTCTAGTTTTTAAGACTGACAACTTTAAATCAATGGCCTTGCCTTTGAAATGGTTTATGCCAATAAATGTTTAACAGATATGAGGTCTTTTGTATGCTGTGCTAGACAATCAGATTACAATTTCAATGTCCTTGTACATGTTAATTATATGATATGGTATTTTATAAGCTGGAAACTATGAAAAATGATTTGATGGTCTCTATATATTATGATAAAACAGTAATTCATGAACTTGAGACTTAATAATATTATCCATACACCAGGTCTGATTCATCATCATTGGATAATTGAACAAATTTGTTCTCATATGACAGCGTCTTAGGCATGTCCTAGGTATCACATTCAGGTGATCGAGGTGAAATATGATGGATCAGAATCTGAGTGTAGTTTAAGCCTTATTACTTAGTTCCTAAGTCAAAAATAGCTGTTTTTAAACCATTATTAACTGGAATAAGGTAAAATTATTCCTTCTCAGTCTTTGGACTTCATACAGCTAGCTCCATGTCTCAGTAAATTCTACAGACCTGCTGATGGGAATGAACATGGGGAACAAAAACCCACACTTCTCACCATCCAAAACTTGATTATGAATTGTAGATGTTAAATATCTGAATGGAACAGATGCACTGTATGGTGTGTTTTTGCTGCAGGTTAAATAGCTTAAAACATTTATGATGAAGCACACGGTGTAAGGTAACTACAACGGTGCTTCAAAAAATTCTGACTGGGCTTTATTGTAATAGTTATGAAATTATTAAGCAGAGGAATACTATGGATTGCTTCAGATAGCTAGGTTGAAAAATTACATTCCTAAAACCCAAAATAAAGAACTGAGTATTATGATCAACTTATGTATGTTATAGAACTTATATCATGGAAGACTATCAATATTTAAAACTTTTTTATAACAACGCATGACAGTTTTTAATTATCTCAAATATTTTAAGTTATAAATGCATGTTGTTATATGCACAAGATTATTATGCACAGTGCCTAATCCTATGTCAATAATTTGCTTATATTCTCAAGGTGCCAAATAAATGTTTTTTTTATTTAAAAGTACCTGTTATTTTTTTTATGTTCAGTAATGAGATTGTGGTGATGCTGCTGATGATAACAAACACAGATGATGCCTATGTCTACAGACAAACTTTGTCTTACAGACAAACTTAATGGCATAGGCACCACCAAATTTCAATTATGTGCTTCTATTTCTCTAAATATTCAGAGAATGCACCTAGCACTGGGCTTTATATACAACTATGCAGGAACTCTCGCTGACTGGAATCAGCTTACCTGAATGACCCACCTCCCCCTGGTATACAGGTGATTAAACAAATTCACTGGAAACCAGAGGAGGCACATTATTCAGTTAAACTGATTGCACTTAGCAAGGATCCCAGTAGACTTGGGTAAATCTACATACACTGATGGTGTCTTTGCGAATGGAGTTATATCATCTGTCCATGAAACAGAAAATTTTATCAGTTTCATTTATGCAAACATGAATCAATTTGGCCACTGCTGAGAAGTTTTTGTCCCACAGAGAAACCAGCTGTATGAAGAGTGTGAAAATTTCTCTCACCTGTCCGGCCTCTGTTGTCCTTCTTGCTCAAGTCACAGCCATGCTGCAGTAGACACAGGATCATGGTAGACTGGCCCTCCTAAAATATGACACAAAATATATCTAGCTGCAGACATGAGTCTTGGTTAAAAAATCTCATTTATCTTATCTTGGGACCAAACACTTAATCTTGATTAATATAAGAACCCACCAAAACTGAATTAAAAACAGACAGCAAATTACATTTTTCAATAAAAATTGACAGCAAGTGGCACTGTAAATGTGGTATTAGTGCTTGAACACAATAAGTTAAACATCAGAAAGAACGGAAAATCCAAATACAAAATTTGTGAATCTCTGTGTTGTGAAAACTAAGATAATGATTTTTCATGTGAACTTTTCTGCTCAAGTCTCATCTACTTTGTTTTTGTGAATCAGCCAGCTTTTAAATTAACTTTCTGGCTACTTCAGTTACAAACCAATATATCATTCAATTGGTATCTTGGTATTAATTTAATTACACAGGCAGTAACTTAAAGTAATTACTTGATCTTTTCAATGGGGGAAAATTATGAATTTTACAGACACTGTATTTTCTTTAAATCATATAAATTTCTTACAATTAAAACATTGCTAGTATTCAATATCGAGTGGCAACAAAATTAAAATGAAGGTTACTCTACATTTCTATTCTGTTCAGTAAAAGTACCAAAAATGCTATATACAGAAGCACAATTTTGTGATTATCAAATTATCTATATGAAAGTGTGATAATTTTTGCCCATTGAAAAAACTGAGTAATTACTGCATTCAATATTCGCTATGGGTGCCATTCCATCCTAGCATGAACCCAGCCTAACCTTGGCAGCCAGGTGTAGAGCCGCGTTCCCAGTATGTGTAGAAGTGTTGATGTCTACCCCACATTTCTGTATTAAGTGCTCCACTGACTCCACACAGCCTGCCTCTGCAGCAAGGTGGAAGGCTTCTCTGCCCAGGATGTCCCGTTTTCTGACATTTGCCTGTAAAATGATTTAAACTGTAGAGCACCCAACAGCAGTGATAGGTGTCAAATTCTTTTTTAAATTATTGAAAAAATTTTTCGAGGTCCAGATTCAGTTGATATTGTTATCATTTCTTTTCCTCCTCAACATCTATCCAGAAACCTGAATATAATCAAATTTCAAATCCAGACAAATTTTTAGAGACACCTAGATCACTAATAAACACATAAACCAACTGCGATGAAAACACAACCTCTTTTGTTGGTGCAGGTACTGACATTAAACATTCAGAAGTCCACAAATTTAATAAAATGCATACAGCAGCTCTGACTGCAACATGCTGGGCCTATTGTTGTAACATTTCTGTAAAAAACAGTGGTGAGAATTAATCACCTGAACTCAACTGACAGCTATCCTGAGGAAAGGAGACATTTTTATCACTGGATAGCAATATCAGAAATAAAAATTAGACCCCATTCCCACAGATTTTAGATCGATCTATCCCTGTGGGGAGTCTCTAGATTACTGTCAGCTTAGCCAGCTTAAGCGTCTGTCCTGCCTACTAAAAGCTGTAAGGGCGTAATTAACTGCCATGAGCGCTCGGCTGACTGCAATTTAGCGTGAACCCCCAGGGAGTTAGGTTGATCCGGATGGACTGATCTAAATCTCTGGGAATGCACTCTTAGTGTTTAGGAAACATTACTTTACCCACAGGATACTAGTAATTGCCCAGATTCTAGCTAATGGACATTGTTATTCAGAGGATAGCACTATCCAGTGTTGATGAAACTGGACCCTGCTTGTCATTCCTTTCAACAAGATTTATACCTGAATCATAGACCCCATTCCCACAGATTTTAGATCGATCTATCTCTGTGGGGAGTCTCACTAGAATACTGTCAGCTTAGTCGGCTTAAATGTCTGTCCCGCATACTAAGTAAGGGGGTAATTAACTGCCGTGAGCGCTCGGCTTACAGCAATTTAGCGTGAAGTCCCAGGGAGTTAGGTCGATCTAGATGGATCTAAATCTATGGGAATGCACTCATATTCTCACTCTGAACATACCCCATGTGCTATCAGCATGTCCGCCACATGAAGGTGTCCTGCCCTGAGAGCGTCCATGAGGGGTGTGGTTCCACAGCTGTCCTGTTGGTCAACAGGAGTCACACCTCTGTCCAGAAGGATGTCCACTGCTGACTGCTGACCATGAAGAGCTAGAGAACAATGGAGATTTAATAAACAGTAGTCAAAGTTCTGCCTATTAAAAATGGTTTCTACTGTAGGAAGATACATTGTAGCCTATGTTATGGTTTCAAAATGTTTCTTAATAAGGAAATTCTGAAATTCTTGAAATGCATGTTTACATATGAGTTAGGGAGACCATTTTTGATACTATTGCAATTCCTGCTTCAATTAAAGCTATACAGCCAAAAAGTTCCTCTGATCTGTCACCAACAACACCGAACAAGGCACATAAGTAACTTAAGGTCACAAAAGGAGTATGCTTACTGTTAGCATGGAAAATCATGTTTAATTTATGTGCAATGATCATAATCAGATGTCTAGCATTTTTAAGTAAACCCAACTTACATGTAAATACACAGCAAAGTGTAATCTCAGCACACCATTATTTTCTGTTTTGTTAAAATTAGTTTCAAATTTTCATATTAACCAAACTTGAAATCCTTCAAATGTAACCAATACAAATTTGTCTCCAGCTCAGCAATAACTGTAAAATTATTATAAGACTAGTTATAAGTGTCCGGAAGTGTTTATAAAATGAATTTAAAACAGAAACTTAATAACCTGCAGTATGTAAAGGTGTCCTTCCATTTTTGCTGACAGTATTAGACACCAGTTCATCACAGTCCAATAGATAGTTCAGAATACTGGCATATCCAACCCTGTATGGACATAAAATACACTGTTTAAGGAATAATTGTTACAGATATCTGTGTTTACTCTATTTTAATCATATTTCAATCTTTAATAATCACATTGTTTTCTTATCAAAATATTTTTCTTGATAAAAGGTGATGAATTTTTTTTTTAAATATGAGCTCTTATCTCTTGATTGCACACAATCATCTTGTAAAAAATGGTGGTTATTATTAAGAATGGGTAAATTATTAAGAATGGTTATACATGCTTTGAAATGGAAAACCTGCCCATAAAAACACACAAACACATACTGTACAAACTAATGTACACACAAACACACACACATTCATACGCACACATGCATGCATAACACACACACACACACACATGCACGCACACACGCACCTCACAGCCAGGTGGAAGCAGTTCCAGCCATCTTTATTCTTCAAGCTAATATTGGCCCCCCTCTGTATCAGCTCCTGGATTACTTCAAGGTTAGTTTTAGTGCAGGCCAACATCAGTGGTGTCCTTCAGTACACATGAAATTAAAATATGTATATATAATAATCAAAATCTACTTATGAATTTTTGTGCATCAACAGTATAGTTAAAAGCAAATAAATAAATAAATAATAAATAAATAAAATAATAATTTTTATAATGTAGTAACAAACATAATAAACATGGATGTCTAGGTATATTCTGCTCATTTAATCAACGATAAAACATTACATTCTCATGGTCCCATACCAATCAGCTTTCTTCAAAGCATCTATTGCCGCTCCATTGTTTAACAAAACCGTCACACACTCCAACTGACCGAAATGTGACGCTTCATGCAGTGCCCGTTTTCCGTCGAAATTGCCCTGATTTATGTCAACCCTGGCCTCCAGGCAGTAATTCAATATGTCCACATGTCCGTGTCTTGCTGCCAACGTGAACAAAGTGTCCCCCGATTTCGCGTGGTGTGCCCTTAGCCATGAGAAATCATCACCAGGAAAGTAATGCTCGATGCAGCGTTTCACCGATTCCAGATGGCCGTGTTGCGCCTCTTTAAGAAGGGCGTCTGTGGCGTTTGGAGAGGGCATTATAGGCTTTTATCAGAAGTGCTGCACATATTTCACACAACAGTATCCTGCATAAATACTGAGCAATTTATTCGCCCATTTAATGCGCTTTAACCAGGGGCCTAAATGTTCAGCACCCTCGACAACACGACTTCATGATCTTTCGTAAAAGGAGGCGGGAACAGCTGCTCTCTGCAATCTCATCTGCGTCTGTCGCATCAAACGCAATGAAGTCAAATTGGTTACATAATTTGCCTATAAATTCCCTAACTTATTTTGAAGGAAGCAACATGGTCGTGGGGACAGGAACAATGGTGGTTCTAGGTTGAGCCAACTGCGAATATGTTCCCAGTGAACACAGAACGTTGCTGTGAAAAAAAAATGTGAGCCAACATCTAATTTTAATTATGCAGCCTTAGATCTACATTGAAATAGAAACGAGACAAAAGAGGGAAGTTGCTTTCAAACGGTAGGTAAAAATCATTTACACTGTTGATGTTATTGTTTTCATCGCCTGTCCGTCGGTAGGGGGGCCTACATACATTTGTTACTACGTCGCACATTCTTTTTTGTTACTTCTCAACTTTTTACAAATCGCTCGATACATAGGCCTTCGTTAGATCTACCTAGACTATATATTTAAAAACTGTTTGCTGCTGACAATTTCCAGGCCTACCCAACCACCAGACTCGGCACCGAATGATCCCAAATTTTGAGTAGTGATGCAATACCTTTCAACCCCGCTGAGAATCGTCACTATCACATCGCGTACAAGGCAAGAGCGGTGTCGCGTCTGATACTGTGAAATGCGTACTGATACACACCTTGAAAACGGGTAGTGTGGTCCGATCTACCGGTGAATTCAGGATCATTCGGTGCCGAGTCTGGTAGTTGGGTAGCTTTGCTGTCTAGTTGTAATATAATCTCTACCTTCATTAACATCGCTGAAAGTATATAGAAAGAATAGACGGCAGGATTAACCAAGGAAAGGTAAGGGCGACTGGCGGAAGTTGCTCTTTTCCCTTCTTTTTCTGCCTCTTCTGTCTTTATTTTGCCAGTGTGATTATATATTATATTTGCACTCACTTGTTAAGGAGTATCATGCAACGCCTTCTTTCTGATTTCTTCAGCGTGCGTGAAGTAATCCAGCTGATGCAAAAATGCTCTCCGTGGGCAAACCTGCGGTTAAATCTTACTCCTTGTGCATGGCAAAAGCGCATGTTGTAAGTGGATATAATCCAACTGAAACAATTATACTCTCTGTGGGCAAATCTGTGGTGAAATCTTACTCCTGGTAGCAAAAGTGCATAGGTAGCAAATTGTAAGTGGGTGTTACGGTTTTAAAAGTGTGCAGAAAGATATTTGTTATCCTCTTTACCGTGTCCTGCTGCTTGTGTTTATGACTGAGGTGAAGATAATGGGATCGCCCTTCCCTGTCTTCTACGCCTATTTGGTAATTGAAGATGAGCCGAAGTGCCCTTTTCACGTTTTCTCCAAAACTACAACGACCCGTTGACAACTGACAGGTGTGGCAATACCTTAGGGCAGTGGGAAGATAGTGGCCGTAGTTTGAATTTGATTATAACTGTTAAAAGTATATTTTGAAGGCATTTTCTAGCCTTAAGTAATTTCCGTAAAGCTTTGGCATGTGTAAAAGGTATCATATATTGTCAATAGCACTACAATAATGATGGCCGAGTGGTAACGTTCTTGACTGCTTATCTCAGCTTAGAGGGTTCGGTTCACAGTTAGAACCTTTTCTTATTCTTTTTTTTTATATTATTGTTATACTAATCTCTTATCATGGTTCAGTGATTGATGTGACGGGAATCAGGTAGTATACTGTACAGCAAATCTTTTACCGACTTTCGTGATAGGGCGTGTGCCTTTTAGGGGATGAATATAATTTTTCCCTACGCGTTACTCTGCTATTTTAAAGTGATCTGAAAATGACTCTTGCCTCTTTTCATCGGGTTAGTTTGAGGAATATAATAATAATAATAATAATAATAATAATAATAATAATAGAAGAGGATCAAAAGTGTCAGTGATACCAGTTGTGATTGGGGCACTAGGAACAATCCCGAAGAACGCAGAAGCCTGTTTCGAGAAGTTGCCTAACATTGTTGGAAGGGCACAACTGTCAGTCATACTTGGAACGGCTCACATTTTGCGAAAAGTCCNTAAAAAGCATACAGCAGCTCTGACTGCAACATGCTGGGCCTATTGTTGTAACATTTCTGTAAAAAACAGTGGTGAGAATTAATCACCTGAACTCAACTGGCAGCTATCCTGAGGAAAGGAGACATTTTTATCACTGGATAGCAATATCAGAAATAAAAATTAGACCCCATTCCCACAGATTTTAGATCGATCTATCCCTGTGGGGAGTCTCTAGATTACTGTCAGCTTAGCCAGCTTAAGCGTCTGTCCTGCCTACTAAAAGCTGTAAGGGCGTAATTTACTGCCGTGAGCGCTCGGCTGACCGCAATTTAGCGTGAACCCCCAGGGAGTTAGGTTGATCCGGATGGACTGATCTAAATCTCTGGGAATGCACTCTTAGTGTTTAGGAAACATTACTTTACCCACAGGATACTAGTAATTGCCCAGAGGATAACGATTCCAGCTAATTTACAGTGTTATTCAGAGGATAGCACTTTCCAGTGTTGATGAAACTGGACCCTGCTTGTCATTCCTTTCAACAAGATTTATACCTGAATCATAGACCCCATTCCCACAGATTTTAGATCGATCTATCTCTGTGGGGAGTCTCACTAGAATACTGTCAGCTTAGCCGGCTTAAATGTCTGTCCCGCATACTAAGTAAGGGGGTAATTAACTGCCGTGAGCGCTCGGCTTACAGCAATTTAGCGTGAACTCCCAGGGAGTTAGGTCGATCTAGATGGATCTAAATCTATGGGAATGCACTCATATTCTCACTCTGAACATACCCCATGTGCTATCAGCATGTCCGCCACATGAAGGTGTCCTGCCCTGAGAGCGTCCATGAGGGGTGTGGTTCCACAGCTGTCCTGTTGGTCAACAGGAGTCACACCTCTGTCCAGAAGGATGTCCACTGCTGACTGCTGACCATGAAGAGCTAGAGAACAATGGAGATTTAATAAACAGTAGTAAAAGTGCTGCCTATTAAAAATTGTTTCTACTGCAGGAAGATACAATGTAGCCTAGTATGTTATGGATTCAAAATGTTTCTTAATAAGGATATTCTGAATTTCTTGAAATGCATGTTTACATATGAGTTAGGGAGACCATTTTTGATACTATTACAATTCCTGCTTCAATTAAAGCTATACAGCCAAAAAGTTCCTCGATCTGTCACCAACAACACTGAACAAGGCACATAACTTAAGGTCACAAAAGGAGTATGTTTACTGTTAGCATAGAAAATCACGTCTAATTTATATTCAATGATCATGATAAGATGTCTAGCATTTTAAGTAGACCAAACTTACATGCAAATACACAGCAAAGTGTAATCTCAGCAAGCCATTATTTTCTGTTTTGTTAAAATTAGTTTCATATTGACCAAACTTGAAAACCTTCACCTGTAACCAATACAAATTTGTCTCCATTCCAGCAATAACTGTAAAATTCTTATAAGACTATTTAAGTGTCCCTAAGTGTTTATAAAAGTTCAAATTTAAAACAGAAACTTAATTACCTGCAGTATGTAAAGGTGTCCTTCCATTTTTGCTGACAGTATTAGACACCAGTTCATCACAGTCCAGTAGATAGTTCAGAATCCTGGCATCTCCAACTCTGTATGGGCATAAAACACAGTGTTTAAGGGAAAAAATTACAAATTTCTGAGTTTACTCTTTTTTTAAAAAAATTTACATTTCAATCTTTAATAATCACATTGTTTTTTTTCATCAAAATATTTTTCATGATAAAAAGTGGTGATTTTTAAAAAATATGAGCTCAAAATATGAGATTACACTTGATTGCACACAATCATCTTGTAAAAAATGGTAGTTATTATTGAGAATGGGTAAACACGCCTTGAAATGGAAAACCTGCTCAGAAAAACACATACAAACACATACAAACTAATGCACATACAAACTTGAAACACATACACACACTCACACACACACAGGCATACACACACATGCGTGCATAACACACACACACACACACACACACACACACACACACGCACCTCACAGCCAGGTGGAAGCAGTTCCAGCCATCTTTATTCTTCAAGCTAATATTGGCTCCTCTCTGTACCAGCTCCTGGATTACTTCAAGGTTAGTTTTTGTGCAGGCTAGCATCAGTGGTGTCCTGCAGTACACATGAAATAAAAATATGTACATATAATAATCAAAATCTACTTATGAATTTTTGTGCATCAACAGTATAATCATGCAAAAGGATATAAATAAATAATAAATAAATAAAATGAGTTTTTTTTTTATAATGTAGTGATAGACATAATAAACATGGATGTCTAGGTATATTCTGTTCTTTAATCAACGCTAAAACATTACATTCTCAAGGCCCCATACCAATCGGCTTTCTTCAAGGCATCTATGGCCGCTCCATTGTTTAACAAAACCGTCACACACTCCAACTGACCGAAATGTGACGCTTCATGCAGTGCCCGTTTTCCGTCGAAATTGCCCTGGTTTATGTCAACCCTGGCCTCCAGGCAGTAATTCAATATGTCCACATGTCCGTGTCTTGCTGCCAACGTGAACAAAGTGTCCCCCGATTTCGCGTGGTGTGCCCTTAGCCATGAGAAATCATCACCAGGAAAGTTATGCTCGATGCAGCGTTTCACCGATTCCAGATGGCCGTGTTGCGCCTCTTTAAGAAGGGCGTCTGTGGCGTTTGGAGAGGGCATTATAGGCTTTTATCAGAAGTGCTGCACATATTTCACACAGCAGTATCCTGCATAAATACTGAGCAATTTATTCGCCCATTTAATGCGCTTTAACCAGGGGCCTAAATGTTCAGCACCCTCGACAACACGACTTCATGATCTTTCGTAAAAGGAGGCGGGAACAGCTGCTCTCTGCAATCTCATCTGCGTCTGTCGCATCAAACGCAATGAAGTCAAATTGGTTACATAATTTGCCTGTAAATTCCCTAACTTATTTTGAAGGAAGCAACATGGTCGTGGGGACAGGAACAATGGTGGTTCTAGGTTGAGCCAACTGCGAATATGTTCCCAGTGAACACAGAACGTTGTTGTGAAAAAAAAAAAAAAAAAAAAAAAAGTGAGCCAACATCTAATTTTAATTATGCAGCCTTAGATCTACATTGAAATAGAAACGAGAAAAAAGGGGGAAGTTGCTTTCAAACGGTAGGTAAAAATCATTTACACTGTTGATGTTATTGTTTTCATCGCCTGTCCGTCGGTAGGGGGGCCTTACATACATTTGTTACTACGTCGCACATTCTTTTTTGTTACATCTCAACTTTTTACAAATCGCTCCATGCATAGGCCTACGTTAGATCTACCTCTAGACTATATTTTTAAAAACTGTTTGCTGCTGACAACTTCTGGTGAGCCAACACATAACTTTTATTACGTCCCAATAAAATAGAAACGGGACAAAAGAGGGAAGTTTTCTTCAATCGTTTTGTAGAAATTTTTTCACATGACCTCCCCTACATATAGGCCTAGGCCTACCTTACCGGTACACACGTTACCAAATTGCGTGAAGATTGTCGCTGTTAAAGGGATAATGACTCTTCGTATGAGATCTATATTTCACAATAAAAACATTGTGAACAACTCATAGAAACATAATGCATTGTGTTTTACCACAAAAACGGCAGTTATAGCTATTATTCTGATATCTGAGCTTGTCTTTAGACCTCCATTGATGGCTATACTCTGTTATAACCTCTTAAGAG